CTTTTTGCTTATGTGGTGCTGAGGAATTGAACCCAGGGCCTCATGCATGCAAGGCAAGCGCTCTACCACTGAGCCACCTTCCCAACCCTTCCATGAGACTCTTATCGCCAATAAACCACCAGAAAACCAGAAGTGGTACTGTGGCTCAAGCAGTAGAGGGCTCGCCTAGAGCTGAAGAGTGCAGGGACAGCACCCAGACCCAGAGTTCAAGCCCCAAGACCAAAACAAACAAACAAACAAAAACAAACAAAAAACATATTCTTAAGCAAAAGAAGCCAATCTGAACCCATATATACAATGTGATTCAACTATAAGATATTCTGAAAAGACAAAACTATGGAGACAGTCAACAGATCAGAGAATGCCAGAGGAAGGAATGAACAGGTGGAGTACAGAAGACTTTCAAGGTAATGAAACTATTCTATATGATACTCTAGTAGTAGATATATGTCATTATACATTTGTTCAAACACATAAAACATCTATTGGCAAGATGACAAAATGTCTATTGGAGACTATGTGCTTTGGCTGATAAAGCGGTGTTACTGTGGGTTTATCAGATGTAACAAATGTGCCACTCAAGGATGAAACAATAATATGGAGGAAGGCAATGATATGGGATTGGGGGAGATGTGATCCCCAGTCCATTTTACTCTGATCCATTACACTGTTTTAAAATATAAAATCTAGTAAAAATAATCTATCACTCATTATTAGAAATTCTTGTCATCCCTGAATTAAGTTCCAAAAGAAGGGACTACATCCATCTTGTTCCCTGTTGTATACTCAGTACCTGGAAAATTATATTGTAAGTCTCTGTTTTGTGAGAGTTGTAGCTGGGAATGTGTAAATTTCTATTGCATTAATTGATACAAGGAAACACAGCCAGGTGCCAGTGGCTCACACCTGCAATCCTGAGGATAGAGGTCCAAAGCCAGTCCAGGCAGGAAAGTCCATGAGACTCTTATCTCTAATAAACCACTCAGAAACCTGGAAGTGGCACTGTGGCTCAAGTGGTAGAGTGCTGGCCTTAAGCTGAAGAGCTGAGGGACAGCGCCCAGGCCCAGAGTTCAAGCCCCACAACCGACAAAAAAAAAAAAAAAAAAAAGGATACATACCACATAATATGAATCGTAACATTTTCTTTACCTAAATGTTTTAACTAAGCTAAATATTAATAAGCATCATCCCTATATCTTTTTGAAAGGAGAAAACACATCATACTGCTTTGCACCTAACTGGTACTCAAATGGTTTGTCCAATGGTCTTTTTCTAAGGGAAATAAACAGCCTTTTTATTAGAGCTAAGTGAAAAACACATTTCATGCAAGTAACCAGATAACCAAAACAATTTCCCCCTAAAAGGAAAAAAATTCAAAATAGTGTATTTTGTTTCCTTATTCATTGTATAGTTTGAGCAGATTGCTTAGCAGGTAAATTCAATAAATATTTACCAAGAACCTACTATATACCACTAAGAATTTAGCATCTTCCCAAAGGTAACTTTTGAAGACCTATACACATTATAAATCTAAGGATCCACATTTGTAAAAATGATTTAAGTGGAAAACAAACTGCCCTACTAAATCATTCCTCTAATATACTTATTTTAAAACTGTCCTGAGTTTTTCCCCTTCTTCTGATTCTTTTTATTTTCATTGTTTTGCAATTTGCTGACATTTTTTCAATATTTCCAAATATCAAATTAGTACCACTTTTAACCAACTTCAAATCAGAACAAAATAGCAAATAGGGTACCTGACAGAGGATGCTCGTGGCTCATGATCTCTGGAATCCATCACCCAACCCACATGGCACTCTAGAGGGGGTCTGTACTGTGCCTCGTTTTTCTCTTTCGTGGACACTAAAGGCAAAAAAGTCAGACATTGCAATTACTTTTGGTAGTGTGAACTTCAAAAGTAAAACCCTCTGACTCTGAGGATGACACATTATGAAATCATATGAAGTCACAAAACTCAAGCATCTCACATGTTACAAAACTCAACAAACAAGACACTTTGCACCTCTAATTACACCACTCAATTATAAAAGAAATTATTGGGTTTTTTTTTTGGCACCAGTCCTGAGCTTGAAGTTGGGAAGTGAATATGGTCCCTGAGCTTTTTTGCTTGAAGATTTGAACTGCAATTCTCAGATCTCAGACTCCTTCCTGAGTAGCTAGGATTACAGGAATAAGCCAGGAGCTGGCTAAAGAAGCCTATTTCTTAACCCAAGAAAAGATCATTGTAAATAAATTCTTACAATCTAAAAAATGCACATTAGCTGTGCCCTGGTAGTCCACGCCTGTAATCCGAGCTACTCAGAAGGCTGAGATCTGAGAATTCCAGTTGAAAGCTAGCTCAGGCAGGAAAATGTGAGAGACTGTTATTTCCAATAAACTAGCAAAAAGCAAGAAGCTGACCTGGGGCTCAAGTGGGAGAACACTAATCTTTAGCAAAAAATGCTCAGGGACAGTGTCCAGGCCCTGAGTTCAAGCCTAGAACAGGTGAAAAATAATGTACATTAGTTGGGTGCTGGTGGCTCATACCAGTAATCCTAGGTACTCAAGAGGCTGAGATCTGAGGATCATGGTTCAAAGCCAGCCCAGGCAGGAAAGGCTGTTATCTCCAATTAACCACCACTAGAACAAGAAGTGGTGCTATGGCTTAAAGTGGTAGAACACTAGCCTTGAGCTAAAGAGCTCAGGGATAGTGCCCAGACCCTGAGTTCAAGCCCCATGATCAACCAAAACTAAAGCACATTTAAAAAATGTGAAAGCTGGACATTGATGGCTCACACCTCTAAGACTAGCTACTAAAGAAGGTTGAGATCCGGAAGATTTAAATTCAAAGCCAGACCTACAGAAAAGTATAGAAAATAACCAGCAGAAAGCAGGGCTGTAAGACTGGCTCAAATAGAGCTCCAGCTGAGGAAGTTGATAGAATATAAGGGCCTGAGTTCACCATCCATGATTTAAAAAAAAAAAAAAGTGAAAAATTTTTGCTTTTTTGTTTTAAGGTCTCATTCTGTAATGTGGAAGGGTACAAAATGCAGACTTTATAACCCTAGTTGTTTTGTGTACCTTTAAATCAATGGCTTTCGGTTCTTTTACAACAGGATAAAATCTAGGTGTTTTGTGAGGATCTTGTAACCTGGATGTTCGGGGTGTTTTAGGTGTCCTTGTTGGATAACTCCTAGGAGATTCTGGAACTGCCGTGGGTAACATATGAGCCATTATTGCTGAAGTTGCTTCTGAAATATCAAATACCTGTGAGCTCATTTATCAGGAAGCAGAAAAATAGCTCAATGCTAGGAAAATATTTCACTTTGAGAATAAATTCTGTATTTTTCCAGGTTCAAAGGATTTTTTTTTCACTAGAAACATTTCAAATGTATTACAATTTTTAAATACCCAAATACTTGGCAACCTTCACTTACCTTTAAAAAGTTTATATTTTGGGGCTTGGAAGGTAGCTCAGTGGTAGAGCGTTTGCCTTGTATGCCTGAGGCCCTAGGTTCGATTCCTCAGCACCACATAGGCAAAAAGAAAAAACCCGGAAGTGGCGCTGTGGCTCAAGTGGTAGAGTGCTAGCCTTGAGTTGAAGAGCTGAGGGACAGCGCCCAGGCCCAGAGTTCAGGCCCCACAATCGGACCCCCCCCCAAAAAAAGTTTGTATTTTGTTTTATGACATTTTTCTTTTTCTTTTTAAAGAAAGGCTGAAACTCATTGTGTTATTTTCTATAATCTCATTTATTTTGTTTTTCTCCCCAGAGACAACAAAGTTCTTGTTTTCTTTTAGTTCCAGTCCTGGTTTTGAACTCAGGGCCTGGGCATTTTTGCTCAAGGTTAGCACTCTACCACCTGAGCCACAGCTCTATGTCTGGCTTTTTGGTTATTAATTGGAGATGAGTCTCAGGAATGTTCCTGCCCCAGCTGGCTTAGAACTGCAATGCTCAGATCTCAGCCTCCAGAGCTGCTATGACGGCAGGAGCCACCAGTGCCAGGCAACAACTAAACTCTTACATTTGGTATTTTGAATACTATATTATTTTGCACAATTAACTTTAAATAATGTTTCATACTTTCTTTAAGTGATTTCATACTTTCTAAGCTTTTTATATTTTAATCATTTAGTTATCTCTAAATGAATGGTGTGCTATTATATAACATCACGATTTATCTATTCTCCTACAGAGGTGAACATTTATGCTATTTCCCCAGTACTGGCATGAAAAGGAAAGAAAAGAAGAATGGTATTAAATTAGTTATCTACGCTTCCACTCTAATAAACTAGGAAATTATGAGCAACATAAGTTCAAGCAAGAGGACCAAAAGAAGTTAGAATAGATAGCAGAGACTAATAAAACCATAAGAAAAATTAATTAATTTTTGCTTTAAAAAAATCAAATTCATAAACAAAAGGGGGAAATGTTGCTGGTCAAAGCACTCACTGAGGCTAAGAGCATAGTGTCATCATACAGTGAGTCCTGGGTTTTATCCACAGCATGGCCAAAAAACTAGTTTCTTAGTCAGCACAGTGGCACGTAACTATAGTCCCAGATACTTAGAAGATCAAGGCAAAAGTTCAAAATCAAAGCCAGGTACTGGTTGCTGATGCTTATAATCCTAGCTTCTCTGGAGACTGAGACCTAAACATCATGGTTCAAAGCCAGCCTGGCAGGAAAGTCCCCAGCAGACTCTTTATCTACAATGAACCACTCAAAAGCTGGAAGTGGAGTTGTGGCTCAAGTGGTAGAGTTACTAGCTTTGAGCACAGAGTCTCAAAAACAATGCCCAGGCTTTGAGTACAAGCCCTGTCCCTGAGCTTCTATTGCTCAAGGCTAACACCCTACCACATGAGCCACAGTGCTACTTCTGGCTTTTTCTGTGTATGTGGTACTGAGGAACGGAACCCAGGGCTTCATGCATACTAGGCAAGCGCTCTACTACTAAGCCACATTCCCAGCCTGATAGTTATCTTCTTAAAGACAGAATGACTCACTGTGTGTAAGGGTTTCATTACCTAATTTGTTCATCACATGTTTGAAGTTTTTGTAACTCTCTCTTTTAAAACATCTTCAAGACTATAAAAAAAATTAGCTGTACTTCCTGGAGACTATCAGACTTAATTTACAATTCTCTCAAATATATATATATATTTCTATTTAAATTTTTTTTATTCTTTTCATAAAGATGATGTAGAGAGGGTTATATAAGACAGGCAAAGGATATATTCCCCCCCCCCTTTTTTTTATTGGTTGTGGGGCTTGAACTCTGTGCCTGAGCACTATCCTTCAGTTATTCAGCTCAAGGCTAGAGCTCCACCACTTGAGCCACAGTGCCACTTCTGGTTTTCTGGTGGTTTATTGGAGATAAGAGTCTCTTGTCCTTTCCTGCCCCAGGCTGGCTTTGAACCGCAATCCTCAGACCTCAGCCTCTTGAGAAGCTAGGATTATAGGATTCCAGGCGTGAGTCACCAGCACCTGGCAAGGATGTATTTCTTTCTGGATAATGTCAACCCTTTTCTCTCTCCCAGTTTTTCCTTCCCAAATATATATATTTTCATAGAGCTAAGGGCTTAAAAGACTGGCTCTTGTAGTGTATTCAAAGGAACTTTGAGAAAAGAAACATTTCTAACGATCTTAAAATCACAGCAGATATACTAAAAACTAATTCTGGCCACTTAGCATTTGTTGAGCCTGATCTAGATGACTCATAGGTCACCTTTATGATTACCTGTCTATCAGTATGGTTAAACTCAGGCTTTTCACATTTACTAATCTTAAAGTGTTTAGAAAATTAAAACATGTATACAAAAGTTGAAGTTTTAAACTCTGGTATTGTGTCAGGTACCTAACATGTACTACAATCAGGAAAAGAAGAGCAATCATTCAAAAATTTCTTAGAACTGCTGTAGTACTCTGTAGACACAAAACCAGATTTACATACCTGGCCTGGGCTGTGAAGGTGCTAAAAATTCAACTTCTGGGTTTGGCTCAAAAGGAAGTTCAGGTGTTAGGTTTTCAAAGTGCTTTTCAGTAATGAGATTTTGCTTCTTAAAGCTCTCAACTTCTTGCTGAAGTAGAATGGAGGAACCTAATTACTAAACTGGCTCTAAGAGTAACCAACAAACAGTAATTGATACCAATATAAAAACTGAGCTTTTAACACAGGGAAATATAAACAGTGAGATATAAAAATGTTCTAATAAAGAATCTAGCAGTAATAACAATATTCAGTCTAAAAGAGGCACAGAGACCCTAAAACATTATGAATAGCTTGTGATTAGAAAACATTATAAAAGGGGCTGGGAAGATGGCTCAGTGGTAGAGTGCTTGCCTTGCATGCTGTGGCTCAGTGGCAGAGTGCTAGTCTTGAGCTGAAGAGCTGAGGGACAGTGCCCCAGCCCCCAGAGTTCAGGCCCCATAACCGGCAAAAAAAAAAAAAGAAAGAAAAGGAAACATTATAAAAGCATACATATTAGTCATCAGTTACTTGTTTGGCATTTATACACAAGAGCACTAGATATAGACTTTACAAAGTAATCAGTGAACCTATCCGTAAGGAATTTTTCAGTTGGATGAGAATAAATGTACCCATGAAAACTAGTAATTATGCAATATATAAAAAGTGATTTTGGGGTGCTTGGATGCAGCTCAGTGGAAAATTGCTTGCCTAGCAAGTATAACGTCTTGGGTTCCATCCCCAGTACCAAAAGAAAAGACAAAAAAAGAAAGTTAAAAACAAAATAAAATAAGTGATTTGGAAAGCCAAGCACTGGTGGCTCACACCTGTAATCCTAGTTACTCAGGAGGCTCAGATCTGAGGATTGTGGTATGAAGCAAGCCTGGGAAGGTATGTCCTTGAGAGTCCACAATTAACCACTGAAAATCTGAAGTGAAACTGTGGCTACAAGTGATAGAGAACTAGCCTTGAGAAAAAACAAAGAAACAAAACCTCAGGGATAGCACCCTTGCTCCAAGTTCAAGCCCTATGACCCACCCCCCCAAAAAAGGGGGGGGATTTGGAATAAAGACTGAGACAATCAGGGACTTACTCAAGAAGAAATTGGACAAAAGCAATGTTAAAGGATGTGAATTTAGAAAAAGAAGAAGGCATTCTAGATTGGGAAATATAACCAAGAAGCTTTTTTCCCCCCCTTTCTTCTTTTTTTTGTCAGTAGTGGGGCTTAGGTGCTGTCCCAAAGCTCTTCAGCGCAAGGCTAGCACTCTACCATTTGAACCACAGCACCACTTCCAGTTTTCTGGTGGTTAACTGGAGATACAAGTTTCATGGACTTTCCTGCCTGGGCTGGCTTTGAACTGTGATCCTCAGATCTCAGCCTCTTGAGTAGCTGGGATTACAGGTGTCCAGCGAAGCTTTTTTTTTAAAGCAACATATTTAGAAAACAATTACATGAATTAGAAATCTTGAGTAGAAAGAGTTGGTAAGGAATTTGGAAAAAGGAATTGATAAACCTTTATTAGCAAATTGAGAAGTTTTCACTTCATTTTCCAGTAATGGGATATCCGTAATAAAAGATAAACCTAGTAGCCCTAGAGATTCATTTCTAAATATCTTTTAGTAACTTAGCAGCTTGAGTTGTAAGCTCAAAGGAAGAATAGAATGGACCATCCTCAGCTCAGGCTCTGAAGACTCCTCCTGTCTAACTACACAGTCACTGAGATGACTCCTGCTATGATCAGTAACAAGCAATGTTATCACAGAGGTAAGAGTGTGACTATGAATATGCAGAGTGTTATTACAGAGGTAGAGGCCTTCCTCTGTTGCAAGGTTATTTGGCCACAGCACACAAAGACCATCGTTGCCCGGTTCAGCTGTGGAATACGGAGACCTCAAGGGAATGCGTACAATTCACGACCTCCAAGTTTCCCACAATAAATTCCAGATCACATTTGTGGCATGTGGTACTAATGGGTAAATGACCTTTAATAAGGTAATAACCAGAGAAGCAAATTAAATATTGCTACAAAATAGTTGCAGAAACCTGCTCTTACTATCTAACCTTAGAAGTTTGCAATCTTCAGATAAGATTACTTGTATAGTCACACCATTTATTAGACCCAGTTAGCTTTTTAGACTTTAGTCTGTCTTTGCTTTAAAGTATCTTAAATAATTACTTCCGTTCCTGCTTGTCACCTATATACTTCCTTCTTCAAAAGTCTTCACTAGGAGTTGGAGGGTGGCTCAGTGTTACAACACTTGCTTAGCATGTGTAAGGTCCTAGGTTCAATCCCCAGCACAAAACTTAGATAGATGGATAGATAAGTAGACAGATAGAAGACTCTCTTGGGCTGGGGGCCAGCACTAGAGCACTTCCCTAGCATATGCAATGCTTGGAGCTCTAACCAAAAAAACAAAGGGGAAAAAAAATCAACCATTATGTACATATTCATTTTTCACTGAACTTTACTTTAATAGAGTTGGCTACTAAAATTGAATAAAGAAATTATATAGTCAGGCGCCGGTGGCTCACGCCTGTAATCCTAGCTACTCAGGAGGCTGAGATCTGAGAATCGCGGTTCAAAGCCAGCCCGGGCAGGAAAGACCGTGAGACTCCTATCTCCAATAAACCACTAGAAAACCGGAAGTGGCGCTGTAGCTCAAGTGGTAGAGCGCTCGCCTTGAGCTGAAGAGCTGAGGGACAGCGCCCAGGCCCAGAGTTCAAGCCCCATGACCGACAAAAAAAAAAAAAAAAAGAAATTATATATTAACTACATGCCATCAATAAAAACAGTCTACTCAGATGGGATCACATTGAGGATGTTTGGGGTTTTAGTATTTTAATTAACTAATTGAAATACGAACTAGAGAAGCACCCAATGATAAATATAACACATCTCAGAATATACTCAAAAGTGAATGCGATGGGTTGGGAAGGTGGCTTAGTGGTAGAGTGCTTGCCTAGCATGCACGAAGCCCTGGGTTTGCTTCCTCAGTACCACATAAAGAGAAAAAGCTGGAAGTGGTGCTGTGGCTCAAGTGGTAGAGCACCAGCTTTGAGCAAAAGCAGCTCAAGGACAGTGCCCAGGCCCTGAGATTAAACCTCAGGAATGGCACACAAACACAAAAGTGAATCTGAGTGTTGGAAGTGTAGCTCAGGATAGAAAGCTTGCCCTGGAGGCCCAGGCCCAGGGTTCAATCCATACATAAACTGCACAGAACTATGCAAATACCATTTAGGTACAGAGTTATCACACATTAAAGGCTCTTTCAATGATTCATCCCACTGCTACTTCCTCTTTCCTCGAGATAAGTCGTATGCAGCCTTCAACACCATAAGCTCTTTTTGCATGTTCTCTCAAAGTTTATTAAAAAAAAAAATCATGTTGTTTTTTTGCCTGAGACCAGGACTTGACTCAGTACCTGGCACTCTTGCTCATTTGTGGTACTGTACCAACTGAACCACAGCTCTAACACCATGTAAGTATACTGTGTAATAGTTTGTGGCTCCATAGTATTAGCCAACAAACTATACCACCCCCCCAAGTCCAAAGTCTGCTTTTATCATTGATTTCATTGGAACACCACACGTATGCATCTTTTCAGTGTAGTTAACTATACTATAAAGATGAATTGTTTCTACAGACAACATATGACCCACAAAGTCTAAAAATTCTACTACATATCTCTTTATCCAAATGTTTATATATTCTTACTCTTATTTTTCTGAATAAATACACAATGTGTGTGTGTGTGTGTGTGTGTGTGCACACCCCCACGCACGTGCATGAGCACTAATCCTAGGGCTTGAACTCACAGCCTGGGCACTGCCATTGAGTTTTTTGCTCAAGGCTAGAGCGCTACCCCTTGCACCACACCTCCACTTCCAGCTTTTTGGTGCTTAACTGGAGATAAGGGTCTCACAAATTTTCCTGCTTAGGCTGGCTTTGAACTGTGATTCTCAGATCTTAACCTCCTGTGTAGCTAGGATTACAGGTGTGAGCCATCGTGCCCCGCACACAAGCTTTAAAATCTATTCCACTAGCCGGCAGCTGATACCTGGAATCCTAGCTACTCAGGAGGCTGAGATCTGAGGATCCCAGTTCAAAGCCAGCCTGGGCAGGAAAGCCCAAGAGACTCTTATCTCCAATTAACCACCAGAAAACCAGAAGTGGTGCTGTGGCTCAAGTGGTAGAGCCCTTGTCTTGAACTGAAGAGCTGAGGGATAGTGCCTAGACACAGACTTGAAGCTTCAAGACCAACCTCCCCCATACCCCCCCCCCAAAATCCATTCTACTGTGTGGATGAGCACGAGTCCCTTCTTAATCACATTTTTTACAAATGAGTAGCTATATTTTAACAAAAACTGCTTTTCATGAAAGACACAAATTTTTGTTTAGTACTTTTTAGAAACTGTCAAAAATCAGACAGTATGCCTCTTCTCAAACTGTATTATTAGTACTTGGTATTATTAATCCATTTTGACCAAGAGCAGACGTAAACTTTGACTTCGGATGGTACTGCTGTATCTGTGTAAGCTCACTACTAATGATAACAAACCCAGGACTTAAATGTGGACTGTTAGTAACAGGGGAAGCTATATGCATTGTGAGGAAAGGGGATATATGGGGAAAAAATTTATCTTCGGATCAATTCTGTTGTGAACCTAACATTTTGTTGCATTCTAACAAATGAATATTAAAATTTTAGAAGCCATTTGACTAACCTCACACCATGAATATACAACACTTTGGACAGATCTCAAAGGTATTATGATTTAAAAATGCCATACTCAAAAAAATCACTTGTTACATGATTCCATTCACAGAACAGTCTCAAAATTACATACAAGTATAGAGGGCCAGCACAATAAGAAAAACCCTGTCTCTTTGTTTTAATTAACTAAGATATAACCAACCTTCATCTAGTGAACTAGATGAAGGGTACTCAGATTTCTCTGTATTATTTTCATGGTTTTTGGGGGTGTTTTGTTTGCCAGTCCTGGAGCTTGAACACTGGACACTGTCCCTGAGCTTCTTTTGCTCAAGGCTAGCACTCTACCACTTCAGCCACAGTGCCACTTGTGGCTTTTTCTGTGTATGTGGTACTGAG